CATGATCATATATCAGTGCAGGTATGCTGGCTGGGTACGTTGTGATGGAGGGTATGTGTTCAAAACCTTTGTCGTAGCCGTGGAAAAAATGCATCCTATCAATTGATTAGATGATTTTTGACCTCATGATGCAGTTGCAGTTAGTGCACTAAAGACATAAGCTGTACGTACAGTCTAGAGGGCGGGTATAGTCTCTCCATTGATGCCGTCAGCTAGAACATTATTTTGCGTAATCTGTACATTAATTAGGTGCGGAAAATAGAGTATAAAGTACTTCACACTATCTCGGTGCGGAGTGTCAATCTATAGGATAAAAGCTAAAAGTTTACAAGCTGTTTTCCATGATTTCGCACACTGATTGTGTAAAATTTGATTTCACTCATGTAGGATCAGAAGAACTAGAAGCCGTGCCAGGAACTCAAAACGGTAGGATCTACTTTTTTCTCGCACTGAGAGAATATCATTCAGACGTTTCTGTAGCAATATTCAGTTAACCGCTTTCATTTTRACACAGAGATACAGAAGGAGTCGTCGATCGCTCAGTAATGAATCCAACATATGAAAGGTAAAATTTTGATTTATGTACTAGGCGCTTCATCAAGCCCCAAAAACATATTTGATCGTTGTGCTAAAAATAAGGCGTGTTTCTTTTTATCCCGTAGAGGAGCCGTCTTACTAAATGCACCTAATGAAACTGCCGCAACACTATACATAGGTGACGACTCTAGTATGCACCAGGCCTTGTCACATAATGCTGAATGCACGAAAATAAACGATGCGACTGCAAGTCTAAATCTGAAAAAAATAGAAAGCAAGAAATCAGGGTCTGTTGAGGGTAGTGACCACAATCCTTTGTACCTTGTGTCTGAGGTATGTGAAACTAAAAAGATATCATGTCCAAGCCAATCAGAACCGAGGGAATCGGAGGCTGTTAATGATAGTGGCCCTAATCCTTTGTACCATGTCTTAGAAAGACCTGATACTAATAGTGGAATGCCTGAAGACCAACCAACTTCAGAATCGAGGGAATCAGAGTCTGATAAAGATAGTGGCCCTAATCCTCTGTACCATTTGTTAGAAGGACCTGACCCTAATAATGTAGGCCTGGCAGAAGATCCAACCTACGAGGATGTCGATTGAACTTTTGTACATMAAAGCCTTATTTAACATTAGTTTTCTTTTATCCAAACCTTGGTATGCATGTTGCATTGTTACTGTACTAATCAAAGTTTTCATATAAGAAGTGATACGGG